AGGCCTGTCTGTCAGCTGATGAGATGTCACCCACCCACATTGTGGAAGATAATCTGCTTTATTCAAAGTCTGCTGATTTAAATGTTATTCACATCTGAAAACTTCCCTCATAGCAATATCTAGACTGGTGTTTGACTACACAACTGAGCCTAGTTAAGTTGACACATAAAATTGACCATTACAAAAGTGTTCTCACTTCACAGGCCCTCTGCCCTCTGGCCCTTATAGTGGAGTAAAATGTATTTCTCCACCCTAGAATTTGGAAGAAGGGATTCAGGAACAACACCCTTAATTATCATGAAATATAAAGGAGCTTTGCCATGTAATGCAAAACAGGAGGAGGAAAATTTTCACAAGAAATAAAGATGAAATTAAGCTGCTAAGGAGAATATAATTTCCCAAGTGAAGGTTGTGGAAGGAAGTTAATCCCTATTGTAGGGAGACGTGTTTAACTTAGAAGACATTAGCAGGGAAAAACAAGCCATTACTCAAAATGGACCTTCTTCTCCCTGCACCTCCACCACAACCACATTACTTCCATTCATGGGCCCAGAATTCACCCCTTCTTCCCCATCTGCCTGTGGAACCAGTAGTTACTGAGGCCAGGGTCCATCCTTCCCATACAGAGCCAGTAGAAAGCAGGTCAAAGGGAAAAGTTACTAACCTGCAATGTACACTGTGTGAACCCACTCAGAATCCCAGACTTGGCATCAAGATTATTTTAAGCTGAAGATATTTGAGATTCAACAGATATAGAAAGAAGACTTCTCAGAACTTCCCTTATCTGACTCAACAGAGATACTTCTGAGAAATGAGAACTGCCATAAATTCCCTCTTTGGGGCAAGTCTATTCCCAGGAGAGAAACCAAGAATAAATCTCCCATAAATCTCCTCTCCGGGGGAGTTTTATGGCCGTAAAGAAGACAGAAAGACCACTCACACCTGCACAAACAAACATTATCTTAAACTTTACCTCCTATTTGTTCTCCTAAAAACCCATTTGTCTTTCCTAAAGAAACCTATTTGTCCTTCCCATAGAAGCCTTTGCTCTCCCTACCCTTTTTCCTAAATTAGGTATATAAGCTCCAAATTCTAACCATCCCTTTGAGTTACACATCACTGAGTACTCATCACTGAGTGTCCACGTGTACACATTTTGTGTGCATAAATAAGCTCTTCCTTTTCTCTTGCTAATCTGTCCTCTGTCAGTTTAATTTGCGCATCCCCAGGTACAGGACATGAGAGGGTACAGAAAAAAGCTTTTCCTCCCCTACAATACCAAGACTGAAACCTACCCCCCCCAAAAAAAAGGAAGTGCTAAATGAACATGGGCTTTGCTCTTTCTTTAGGAAGAGGTAATGTCTGGGGAGAAAAATAAGTGGAAGCAGTACATCAGGGAAGAAAGGATTAAAAGAAAATAGGGAGGAAAGGAGTAACATTGTGGTCAAGGCTGGAAATCCACCGAAGGCCCCGTAGCATCGGTGTGGAAGATTCCAGAGAGCTTGGCAGCAAGGCTTTGCTCTAAGCGTGGAAATGAGGGAGGTAGACAATTGACCAGGGTCATAATACCTGATTCCTGATTAAAAATCTTCTTAAACCATCTTACTGATCCAGTGGATGTATGCTTTAGGAAAAATAGGTGAGGAAATACTTGCAACAGGCAGGAGAGAGAGGGTGCCCTCCTTCCCAGCAGAATGGCAGCTCCACTGGTCAGAGAAGCAGCAGCCTGTACCAAAGAGCTCAGCTGAAGAAATAGTAAAGCTTATTGCCCAACCTTTTCCTCCACAGAGGTAGGAGCCAGACACAGATATTGAAGGACAGAGACAAATGGAGACCACCATATGGGTTACAATCTAACTAGCCAATGGCAGTGACCAAGAGAATTTTGTATCAGTCGGGATTCCAACAGAAAACACATAGCACACTCAAATTAGGACTACTTGAGGAGGCTTTAATGAAAGACTGTTTACAGAA